CAGGGAAGCCCCAGTTTCCAACATATTTTTAAGAAACGAAGTGCCTTCTGTATGTCAGAACCCTGATGCCCAGGATAACATATATGGTCTTTTCTTTATCCTCAGAGCAATCCCATGAGCTCAGTATAATATTGCCATCACAGAGTAGGTTATCTGAAGGTTAGAATCTCTCCTTAAGATAACCTAGTCGTTAACAGTAGTAAACAGCAGAGCTGGGATTTGGTCTCAGTACAATTTTCTATCCCCTAAATCCTTTTCAGACACTTTCATAGCTTCATATTCTCTCATAAACCCCATAGAATGAAAACATTGCCAATTAAAATGATATCAGACAGCAACCTAAGTGTCCATTGACAGATGAACGGATAGAGAAGATGTGGTGTATAAACACAATGGAATATTATTCAGCCATAAAAAAGGAATGAAATAATGCCATTTACAGCAACATGGATGGATCTAGAGATTATCATACTAAGTGAAGTAAGTCAGAGAGAGACAAATATCATATGATATCGCTTATATGTGGAATCTAAAGAAAGGATACAAATGAACTTATTTACAAAACAGAAATAGACTTACAGACATAGAAAACAAACTTGTGGTCACCAAAGGGGAAGAGGGGGAGGGATAAATTAAGAGTTTGAGATTAACAGGCACAAACTACTATATATAAAATAGATAACCAACAAGGACCTCCTGTATAGCACAGGGAACTCTGCTCAATACCTTGTGATAACCTATAACGGAAGAGAATGTAAAAAAAAGAATATATATATATATATATATATATAAAACTGAATCACTTTGCTGTACACCTGAAACTAACACAACCTTGTAAATCAACTATATTTCAGTAAAAGTTTTTAAAAAGTAAAACAAAACGATATCAGACAATTTCAGAGTTATAAGGGCATCTATAGAAATAGAGCTCCGGTGTCCACTATAGTGGCGGGTGGCTGGTCCAGGGATGCATGGCTAGTTAGGGTGGACTCCAAGCCTGTAAGCCACTCATGCTGCAGGTCAGGCTCTGGCGTTAGACCACGTGGATTCAGGAGCCAGACCCATGCCTTGCAGCTCAGATCCTATCCCTTAATCTTGAAGCTTCCGGTTCTCCTGTAAGACAAGGATTGCCATGGCGTCTCCTTCCTGGGGTTGTTCAGAGTCATGGATGTATAAACCACAGCAAGTGCTTAGCTCAGCCAGGCAGGGAGTCAGAGCTCACGGGTGGCACTTGTCACTATACTGTGCTTACCGACCACGTCACGCATACCTTCAGGCCAGGGTTCTTCCTCATCCGCAGCCTTCCCATCCACATGTCAGTCAGCAGCATCTGGCTGCAGGTGTGGGCGATGAAGTCCCGATGTTTGGCTGCGACAGCCAGTTTGAGGCAGGTCGAGTTGCTCCAGTTTTTCAGCTCGTAGGTCAGCAGTTTCATGGCGATCTGCTCGTCATGCTTGTAGGACTGGTCCAAGAGCTCCACAGCAAGCTGGCCAAAGTCTCTGCAGAGACAGAAATGGGAGCAGGGTGGTCACGTGCTCTTCATTCGAGAGCTGTGTCCGCGGGGATGTCGTGGAGCCACAGGACACAGAGTCTTTGACTCCCTGTCCTCTGGGAGCTCCAGGGGATGTCCCCAGGGGGGACGGCCAGGGGCCAGGGGCTGTGCTTAGCCATGTCAGGGGCTGACTGCTCTCGCTGTAGATGGCGCTTTAGGTGGAGCCCAAGTCTGCCCCTCAGGCCCCAGGGACAGAGCAAAGACAAAGTCCCTCCCCTCAGGCATTCACAGAACAGGGATGCAGATGGAAAAGATGGCAAATGCGAGTTTGAAAACAGCGCTTGTGGGACCGGAAGTCAGAACAGTGGCCATCCTTGGTGCAGGGGAGAGGTGGACATTGAAAAGGTCTCCAGGAGGGCTGGTGGCACAGGTAGGGTCCTGTTTCTTGAGGGAGCTGGTCACAGTTGTGTGTTGGGTTTGTGAACAATCACCAAGCTGCATGTTTTGCACACGTGCCTTCTCCTGTATGAGTGTAATACTTCAGTGACACATGGATTACAAGAGCGCTCTCAGTGCTGTGAAGGAGACAAGGTCTAGTTGCCATGGGGACCCGGAGCAGAGAGGACCAATTGCTGGAGGTGGGGGAGGGGGAGTGATGGGAACCAAGTGGCGGATGGAGAAGGGGACACAGGTGATTTGTGAACATAAGATGTATTCCCTTTCCACATGACCCTGATGCGAGGATTTAATGATAGTCATGAACACTTCTTGTTCCTTCAACTTTTTGTGTGGCATCGATGTGATTAAGGTACAGTCCTATAGGGATCACCTTTCTTTGCTTTTGTTTCTCCATTTTATAGAAGATTTGATGCCAGTTCTGAGTGGAAGGATGAAAAAGGGAGGCATTACTTGTGGGGGATGGAGACGCAGACTCTGCAGCATCTTCTGGCCTCAGGCCCCACAGGCTGCAGGGGGTCACCACGACGGTCCTCTAGGAAGCAGAGGGACAGGGCTTGCCAACAGATGGAGGCAGGGGAACGCCTCCCTATTTGTAAGAGTCTTGAACACCTGATGTTTAGAAGTCAGCTAGTGATTTTAGAAATACAGTCCGAAAGATAAGCAGGGTGCTTCACAAAACAAAGATATTACATGTTGGCAGAAGGGCCTGTGTACAATTCAAGTTCACATGTCTGTAAAGTTGCACGGGGACTTTCGGTTTCTGGTTCCACACGTAAGGGACTTGGAAGTTGCCACTCTGTCCTAATAAAAAGTACAAAAGCTCAACAAACTCAAAACCCACGACTTTTCTAGATTCATCAGAGAATTGAGGTCACAGGGCAAATTGCTGTCCACCTAACTGGAAAGACAGAAGGCAGATACTGAGAATCGCAACTTAATGGAGCACAAACCCGGGGAACCAGCGCCAGGTTGGAAAACCTGAACTGTAATTGATGAATTTCTGGAGGCCCCGTGAGGACAAGTCTGCAAGTTAATAGCTCCGGGTGGCCCAGGCTTAGAGAAGTGTCCACATTTTTGTGAGTTTTACCTCCAGGAGCCCCACCAAGTTCTCACAGAGAAGATGGGGGAAGAATCCTCTCATGCTGCCATCTGGGAGAGGGGAAAGGGTCCATTCTGAACTATGCCCAGAGCACTCTATTCTTCATAACAAGGCCTGCCCTCGGGGGAAACTGGCTAACCAGAGCTTAACCTATTGGTGTTTTATCAGAGCCTAACTGAACTAGAGGGAGGGAAATACCCAACTCCAGCCCCCTGTAGCCGTCCTAAGGGGGGGAAATCCAGAGGTACTTGTGAAGGTCAAGTCCAAGGGCACAGGTTCACTAAGGTTGTTTCCTTATGAAAATTGGTCTCATTGTCTTTGCACTAAAATTGTGTTTCCCAGAAACAGAATCATGGACATAGAGAACAGACCGGTGGTTGCCAAGGGGGAGGGAAGTTGGGGTAAGCTTTCATATATAGAATGGATAAACAAGGTCCTACTGCATAGCACAGGGAACTATATTCAATATCCTGTGATAAACCATACTGGAAAAGAATATTTAAAAAATGTGTATATATATATGTATATGTATAACTGAGTCACTTTGCTGTACAGCAGACATTACCACAACACTGTAAATCAACTATATTTCAACAAAAAACATATATTGATTAAAACTGGGTTTCCATGGTTTGCACCAGAAGGCAGTCAACAAAAACAATGAGAGTCCAGAAACGCCTCAGAGAGACAGAAGGAAAAATGCTGACACAATGGACAAAGCACTTGATGAACAAGCTTTAAAGGTCATTGTACTTAAGCGAGAGATACATTTGCCACCCTTCCCAGCAAAGGGACAGTGCTCAGGACCATAGTGTCTCCTGGTCCTTAAATTCCCTCTGGACACTCACTTTGAGTTGTTGTCCAGGTCCTGGGAGATATCGTCCACCAGCTCGCTCTCGGAGGACTCGTGGGCCATCGACTTGTAGAGCTTGCAGGCCACCAGGGCCTTCGCCATGCTCTCCTCCCCGCGCTGCCAGAGGAAGACCGCCATTTTTTGGCGCTTCATCAGCACGGCCCACACCATCAGCTCGTGGAAGGGGTACTGGAATCGACTCACAGCGGGGTCGTCCACATCGATGTCCAACTCCTCCTCCTTTTTCTTCTTCTTCTTTTTCTTCCCTTTGGCTGGAGGCTCATCATCCTGAGGGGAGAGAAGCACCTTTGCCATGGTTCTGCCATAAACGTGCAACAAAGGGTTTCAAGACAACTGGAAAAAGGGAAACCTCTCCCTCCAAGGGAATAAAGAGAATTCTAAGTACATCTGCGGTTTCCAACCAGTGTACTAATTCTTTTGAAAAGATGCACATGTTTATTATGAGAAGTAAACCATCGAAGACCAAATGAGCTGAAAAGGCATACTACTGTTTGAAGAGTTTATACGCCTGGGTTGGCAGGGCTTTTTTTCCCCAGAAGCCTCTAAAAATTGAAGAGATGCTGCAAAACTAAAACAAAGAAAACACTTCAATCCAAATCACCCCATGGGAGAGATAAAGCCTGTAGCTTATTTCCTCAGAGGAGTCTTCAAGTACCAACACTCGTTTGCCAGATAACGCTGAACCGGAGATTAATAGGAAAAATGTAAAAGGGGAAGGAGAAAAATGTCTTGTTTCCCTACTAATGGTTTAAGGAAGCAAGCGTTCCATTTTTTAAAATTATAATTTATTTATTTATTTCTTTTTGGCTGTGTTGGGTCTTTGTTGCTGCACGCTTTCTCTAGTTGCCGTGAGCGGGGTCTACTCTTTGTTGCGGTGAGCAGGCTTTTCATTGCGGTGGCTTCTCTTGCTGTGGAGTAGGGGCTCTAGGCCCGCAGGCTTCACTAGTTGTGGTGCCCGGGCTTAGCTGTTCCACGGCATGTGGGATCTTCCTGGCCCAGGGCTTGAACCCGTGTCCCCTGCGTTGGCAGGCAGATTCTTCTTATTTTTTTTAAGATATAAAGTAATAGCTTTATTTTGAACTTTATTATGTTTCAGACATTTCTCTAGTCATTTTAGATTTATTTCAATAAACATTTTCCTATATCTTGTAAACCGCATTTTAAAATCAGAAATAATTTTGCAAATCTCCATATACAATGATACCAAACAGAAAACAAAAAAATCAAGTTTTATTAGCAATTCTAAGTAAGAGCTGGCACAGTTTACACAAGCATTAGAAGGTAAACATCTCTTGAATAAAAAAATAGGAAATATTTTAATGAAAAAAGTCAAGGATTGAAGGAAAGAGAAAATTTTTCAAACAGCAGCTGGCTCTTTCTTCACAATCTGAATCACTTGTGCAAATACATCATTAAATACGCACATGATATTTACAAGGTAGAGATAAGAGAAAAAAACCTAAGTATCAGGGTCCTTCATCTGTTATCCCTCTTCCATCTTCTGGATCCATTACTTTACATTCCAACTAAAACTATGACTCTAGTTAACTACAGTTGAAAGCTTATCAATTAAGTCATCAACAGTGTAAACCAGAAGTTGAATGTCCGCTTTTTCCTTCATTCGGTGATCACTATTCTTTCGGAGGAAGACATCTACATCTGTGCTGACTACTCGGTCAGCAACCTGCATGGACGTATGCCATGATACAATGTCATCCTTCATGCCGTGGAGCAATCTTATAGGGCAGTTCACAGGAATAGGACTATGTAACAAGCAGTGGTGCTCTGCTTCTTTAATGACACTGTACTGAATGCGATAAACTCCTCCTTCACTGTATTTTGATGGCATGGACCACACATCTTTCATCTCTATTTCCTTTTTTGCCTCAACAGGAAGCTGATTAAACTGTGTCACTAGGCCATCCACAGCTGTCGCTATGCCAATAAGAGCAACAACCTTTTGTGGCCGTGCAATTGCAGCGTGAAGCATAAGCCATCCACCAAGGCTAGATCCAGCTAGTATCTGTGGTCCTTCAGCTAAGTCATCAATTATAGAAAGAACATCTTTTCTCCATTTTCCCACTGTGCATTCTTCTAAGTTACCATCTGAATTTCCAACTCCTGAGTAATCAAAGCTTATACAGGCGTGACCTAGAGATTTGCAAAACTCCTCAATCGCCAATGCTTTTGTACCATTCATATTAATGTAGCCAGGGATGAAGATAATTCCTGGACTTTTGCCTTTTAGCCTTTTATGAGCCAGGTTTGGAAGGTCTGGTCGACTAAGGAAAGAGATTGATGTCTTTTGTCTGCAAGCTGGGAGCCACCGTGGTGCCGGCTCGGCCTTCGGTGCAAGTAACGCGCTGAGCCCACAGTGGAAGCCGAAGGAGACGGCCATCCAGCCCCACCTATGACAAGGTACCCCGGCAGGCGGATTCTTAACCACTGCGCCACCAGGGAGGTCCCACAAGTGCTCCATTTTGAATGAGCTTTGTCTTTTCATGGATGTGCTATAAATGGAGGGTCTCCCATGACTGGGAGAATTGGGGTTGAAACACGGTCAACATTTCCCATTTCCTAAAGGGATTGTGAGGGATGATTCTGAAAACGGAGAAGGACCCTAAAGGAATGTCTGTCATGACTGGGAGAATTGGGGTTGAAACACAGGAGTGTCATGGAAATATATGGGGCTCAGACTATTCCAGGCTAGGGCTTCAGCACCCAGTAGAATGACAGAAATGGGTATTTGCTCTTTTGCAAACAGCTTTCTTGTCAATGATCCACTTTTATTCTTATACTGACTCTGAGAGGTTGTGAATGTCTTCCATTCCATCAGATGAGGAAGTTGTGACCCAAATTCTGAATAATTTGCCCACATACACACGGCTGGAGTGGCTGGGCAGGGTGGGGGTGAGGGGGGAGACTGGCTCTCCAATTCCTACCACATGTTGTTCATGACTAACCCAAGTTTTATAACCTTATAATGAGTTGTCCGACATTTTAATTGAAACTATTGTATCTTGCCTTAGATTGAAATGTTTTTGTTCAGGGACTTTCCTGGTGGCACATTAGTTAAGAATCTGCCTGCCAATGCAGGGCACATGGGTTCGATCCCTGGGCCAGGAAGATCCCACATGCTGCGGAGCAACTAAGCCTGTGTGCCACAACTACTGAAGCCCATGCACCTAGAGCCCATGCTCCACAACAAGAGAAGCCACCGCAATGAGAAGCCCGCACACCACAACGAAGAGTAGGCCCCACTCGCCTCAACTAGAGGAAGCCCGTGCCCAGCAATGAACACCCAATACAGCCAAAAATTAATTAATTAATTAATTAATTTTAAAAGTGTTTTTGTTCAAATTTTCTAATTTGTCCCAGTAAAACTACAGTTTCGGTCATTTAGGAAGGTTGGTCTATATAGGTTAAAAATTGACATTATGGAAATTAAAAAATAAACATAGCTTTATTTTCAAGAATATATCCAGTCAAATAAAAATCCACTAAGGACTAATGAAAGGCTGTAAAACAGAAACCCTTTTAAGCCTATCTTTCAATAATACATTGTATTGTTAAAATACTAGTTGTATGCAAATTCTGTTAAAGTAATTTTAAGATTGCTAGAGAAAGAATATAACCAACAAGGGATTAATTTCCCTAAAATGCAAGAACAGCCACAAAGCAACAAGAAAAAGAAACAACCCAATAAAATAACAAAAGATATGAACTGGAAGTTAAAAAGAAACTGACCCATCCACAATCACAGTAAGAGCCTCTAAACACCCCTCACTTAGAAATCAACTTGAAAAAATTAGTACAGATAGAAGCAAATTGAACAATAACATTACCAAGTTTGATCTGACAAAGACGTATATGTATTGTACCCAACAAGCTGGGAGTACACATTTGTTTCTAACACACATGAATCATTAACAAAATTCCACCTGGCATTATTCCCTAATTCTTTTGAGATTTTCTATATCAACAAATTCCAGATATCAGAAATCATGTAGTATACACTCAAAGAATAAAATTAAAAATCAACAAGAGTAGGATAACAACAATAACAAAATTCTGTATCTGGAAAATTTTAAATACACTTATAAATAACTTGTGGATTAATGAGGAAAGTATAAACTGTTTAGAAATGAATTGCAATGAAAGTTCTACTTACCCAAACCTGTGGGATACCATGAAAACAATGCTCAGAGAAAAAATTTATACTCTTTATGCATTTATTGGCATACAGGAAAGATTGAAAATAGGCAGGGACTTCTCTGGCAGTCCAGTGGTTAAGACTTCACGCTCCCACTTCAGGGGGCACAGGTTCCATCCCTGGTTGGGAAACTAAGATCCCACATTCCACATGGCATGGCCAAAAAAAAAAAAAAAATGATGTGAACACTATAAATATGGTATAATTTGGAGTCCCTTGGGAAGGGCCTCTTTCTCATACACTCCCAAATAATCTTCCCCCATCTATCCCAGTGCCTTGACAATCTGTCAGTATAGATTGATTCCTTTAAACTAATTAATTAAAATAAAAATTTTTTAAAAAAGAAAATGGGCAAACTTCGCTTTCAAATTGAGTCAATAAAAATAATACAGTAATTCCATATAAAGTATATGGAAGGAATGAATAAAATATATTAATAAAATAGAAAACAGAAAAAAGAAAGTTGCTTAATAAAGCAAAAATACCAATCAAATCTGAAGGCAAGTACGGTTAAGAAAAAAAGGGAGAAGATATAAATATAAAAAAATTGGAACAAGAAATGGTACACAACTAAAGATATTGAAAAAATTAGAATACTATGTAAAGGTTTATACCAAAGTACTTGCAAGTGTAGAAGTAAATTGTTTGCTAGGAAAATATAATTGACCAAAGCTGACTCTAGAAAATAGAAAAGCTCCATGAACTCATGTTATGAAAATTATTATAAAGGCAGTGAAAAATATGCCCCTAAAACACAGGACTGGGACCAGGCTATTTTACAGGAGAGTTCCACCAAACCTTCACCCAACAGATAAAGCCAACATGATGCAACCAACCTAAGAGAGCATGGACTTACGGAAAGCTGCATATCATAACCCTTCTAGTTACGCTGAAGGTCGGTGTCAACTGTGAACACAGAATCAAAACCTACCCTGTATCCATACAGAAATTGGGATGCTATTTGAATCATGAATTTGAGAAGAGTCTTTACAACAGACAGTCTTAATATTCTGTGTTATGATATTTCTTTCACTCATTTATATATTTTCATGTCTAGTGCTTTTTTAAAAATTAATTAATTAATTTTTTTGGCTGCGTTGGGTCTTCATTGAGGTGCACAGGCTTCTCATTGCGGTGGTCTCTCTTGTTGCAGAGCACGGGCTCTAGGTGCGTGGGCTTCAGTAGTTGTGGCTTGTGGGCTCTAGAGCACAGGCTCAGTAGCTGTGGCTTAGTTGCTCCACCGCATGTGGGATCTTCCTGGACCAGGGCTCAAACCCATGTCCCCTGCATTGGCAGGAGGATTCTTAACCACTGCACACCAGCGAAGTCCTAGTGCTTTGTTCTTGAGTTTCCTTATTAAGGTTATTTCTGGATACTTTTGTCCTATTATGAGGAAACTTTGTCAATGTGTCTGGGTTTTCTAGAAACCAAATTTTTTTGCCAATGATAATTTTCCCCCTTTTTAAAGTATGCTTCCTTTATTTATTTTTTCACGTGGTAAAATTCCCAGAACACTTTTAAAAACCAGTGGGGTTAATGATGCCAACAATAATGGATGTGCTTGACTTGTTCTTGATTTTGATAAAAATGAATGGGGTGGCTTTTACCTTTTGAAACATGTCTGTGATCTTTTTTTACATAATTTGACTAAATCATCCAAGTAAATTTTGGTGTATGGTGTAGTGGATTTATTCATGGAAAACAAACTTGTGCAATTTTATGTTAAATACAAAACGAAGAGGGCTCCACACACTTAACCACAATATCATAAAGCCATTGGAAACAAGTCCTACTTACTTCCATTCCCAGAAGTTTGAGAGCTTTAGGCTGCATAATGAAAGGGGAGAAAAAAATGAATGGAATCAGATAACTGATGTTATGATACTGGGGGTTGTACATTAGTAATATCTTTAGTAGCAATAATAATAGATTAAAAAGTACTTGGTATCGTTAACAGTTAAGGACAAACCCAAGGAAAGGAAATGCTTTAATATGGAACCTCTGCTTCTGTCAGCCCAGGTCAGGTGAGGAGAGAGATGTGCAGACATGGGACCCGCATCCCAGGTAGAACCAGAGAAGTTCACCCACAGAGGAGACCCAGAGCTATGGAGCTCTGAGTGCGGGCGAGGCGAGGGCTTCATGGGAGATCTCACACGTGAATTGGGCTTGCGGCACACGTGGGGTTTTGATGGGGGAAGATGCCGCAGACACAGTAGTAGAGTTTGATTCTGGCAGTGGTACATGGTTGCCCACAACACGGTGGGGATGGCTAGGGAGACTCTTAGATGCTGTGATCATGAGCTTGACAGTGCTTCGTCAGGCGCTGGGGATCCTTGGGAATTTCTGAGCAGGGAGTGCACTGTTGGGTCCCTCGTTTTGGAGAACTGGGGCGGGTCCAGCGGCAGGATGGATGGGAGAGGGCAGAGACAAGGGAGCCTGGGAAGAAGGCTATTGCGAACAAAGGATGGGGCAGGGGCAAGTGCTGGGCTGTGCGGCCCCACGAGCTGAGGGAGGAAGGTGCGTGGTGAAGCCTGGGTGTCTGGAGGCATGCTGAGACCTCCCACCGAGAGCCACTGCGGGAGGACGGGCAGGTGTGCTTGGGGATGGGGTGATGAGTTCGGCTTTGAAGCGGCTGAGTTATTAGAAAGGCTAGCAAGGAACCACATGTGATTCCGGGAACCACAGAACACCACGTGTTCGCTGAGTCCTACCCTCTTGGGTCCAAACAGGTTGTTGTAAAGGGTCCGGAAGCCCTTCCTTGTGTAGTTGCAGCGGTAGGCGCCCCCCATGAGGTACTCCAGCACGAGCCCAATGTCTATGAGGCTGATGTGGTAATCGGGTGGAAGGTTGCCCTGTAAGAAAAGAAGCTGTGTCTCAGGCCCTGCGAGAAGGGACCCACAGCGTGGACTTCGGCAACACCTCGGCATCATGGTCATTCCTGCCTACGACGTGAAAGTTAGTGGTACCAACGGGGCATTAAACAATCTTCAGTCTGTTTCCATAGGATTGTGGGAGATAAGGGGGTAAACCATGTTCCAGAAAATGGGCTAGACTTCCCAATGAGAAGAAGTAGAAGCCCATGAGGCTGGAGGGGAGAGGCCTGGGCTTGTCCGTGAGCTCGGACAGAATAGCCTGTAATGTGCATTTAAACATAAGGGAAAGAAAAGAATATATATATAAAGAATGTATATATGTATAATTGAATCACTTTGCTGTACAGCAGGAATTAACCCAACATTATAAACTATGCTTCCATGAAAAAGAATATTAAAAATGTATATAAATGTATAACTGAATCATGCTGTACAGCAGAAATTAACACAACATTGTAAATCAACTATGCTTTGATAAAAAAATATTGATTAAGGAAAAAATACATAAAGGAAAGATGGTGTAGCTGGTGCAAAGAGCAGATTCATTTTGTTGAGAAGGTGCTTTGACAGCTGCTTGCAGGGGAGAATCCAGTTTCGGGGGGCTGGCGTCCAGATTTTCTGCAGAAGGAGGGAATGAGCAGCGTGGCAGGCAGGAGGACTCTGGAAGACAGTGGGCAGACAGAATATCCCTGGGGCCAGGAACTTTCTAGGGAAAGCTCCACATGGTGCCCTGTGACTTTCTGGGGGACCCCTCAGATTTCAGTAAGAACGCAAACACTGCAAACTATCTGATGTGCCCGGGAGTCGGTGAAGGGGCAGAGTCCTGCAGCAGAACGGAAGAGGCTGTGTTGAGATAAAGGTAGCGTGTGGGTGGAGGGGAGGAGGGCAGAGGGGCATCAATGCATCTGTAAGTCGGTCATTCACGCCAGAGGGCAGTTGGCTTATCCAGGAGGCAGAGCTGACTGGTCCATTATAAGGATGTTTTGCTATGTGCTGTTTCCTGCTTGGTTAATTTCCTATGGCTGAAATGATGGTAGAAACCTGGGGTCCGTCCCAT